CTCTATCGCGAGGAGGGCCTTCTTAAGGAGGTCTACGGTGAGCGTGGTGGGAAAGACTAAGAGAAAGTGGTCCCTGACTACGCGAAGTGAGTCAGGGAGGCGAGTGACTAGGAAGTACAGAGTGATGTACATGGGGGGGGGGGTTCGCGGCGCAGAAGTCAGCAGGGAGTGCAGCGCGGTAGCGAGTGTCACTAGTGCGGAGGTGCGTAATGAGGTCAGCGACGGTGGGAAAGGCAGCAAGGTCAGGGAAGAGGTATGGTAGCATGAGACGGCTCAGTGCAGCTGTGGCAGGGGAGGAGTAGCGCGCGACTACAGCGTCGTACAAGGTCCTAGCACTCTTGTACTGACTAAAGTGCGCACGCTCGGAGGTAGGGAGGTGGCGACGCACAGCAAGACGTGCAGCAGCGTCGCGCGTGGCCCACCGGGAGCGAACAGTGGCGTCAGCATCAGCAGCAGGGGCAGGAGAAGCGCCAGAGGTAAGGTCAAAGAGAGAGAGGCCGTCCGCCCTATCGCACTGTAAGAACAGCTGCAGGTCGTCTACCCAGACCTCAAAGTCAATGGCTCGACCCTCAGCGTCAAAAGCTAGGACACTAGGGGTAGCCATGACAGCAGTGGACCAGCAGTGCAAGCAGTAGGGGAAGGGCACGCAGTGACAGAAGGTTTGTGCTCACCGGACAGGGCTGCTCGGGCGGCTCGACTGCAGGGCGGCTCGGCAGCTGGGCGGCTCGGCGGCTGGGCGGCTCGGCAGCACGGCGGCTCGGCTGCAGTGCGGCTCAGCGGCGGGGCGGCTCGGCTGCTCTGCTGATGGGCGGCTCGGCTGCTCTGCTGCTGGGCGGCTCGGCGGGCCGCTGAAGGAGGGCGGCTGGGCCGCTGCAGAGAAGGGCGGCGGGGCCGCAAGGTAGGGCGGCGGGGCCACGAGGAAGGGCGGCGAGGTCGCTGAAGTAGGGCGGCGGGGCCGCCGCAGAGAAGCGGCGGGGCCGCCGCAGAAGGGTGGCGGGGCCGCTAGGTAGGGCGGCGGGGCCGCACGATGGGGCGGCGGGGCCGCTAGGTAGGGGAGCGGCGGGGCCGCTGCAGAAGGGCGGCGAGGCCGCTAGGTAGGGCGGCGGGGCCGCGCGATGGGGCGGCGGGGCCGCTGTAGAGGAGCGGCGGGGCCGCTGCAGAAGGGCGGCGGGTCGCTAGGTAGGGCGGCGGGGCCGCGCAATGGGGCGGCGGGGCCGTGAGGAAGGGCGGCGGGGCCGCGCGATGGGGCGGCGGGGCCGCTGTAGAAGGGCGGCGGGGCTCTTGCAGAAGGGCGGCGAGGCCGCTAGGTAGGGCGGCGGGGCCGCTGGGTAGGGCGGCGGGGCCGCTGCAGAAGGGCGGCGGGGCCGCGCGATGGGGCGGCGGGGCCGTGAGGAAGGGCGGCGGGGCCGCGTGATGGGGCGGCGGGGCCGCTGCAGAAGGGCGACGGGGCCGCTAGGTAGGGCGGCGGGGCCGCTGGGTAGGGCGGCGGGGCCGCTGCAGAAGGGCGGCGGGGCCGCTTAGCAGAGGGCGGCGGGGCCGCGAGGGAAAGGCGGCGGGGCCGCGTAGGTGAGGGCGGCGGGGCCACGACGTAGGGGCGGCGGGGCCGCGAAGGTAAGGGCGACACGGTGGGTCGCTAAAAAAAAAACCGCGCCTCGGGGCGCGCTTCGGTGGGCCCTAGAAGCAGTCCCTAGGAGGGAACCTGCTCTGATTCCATGTGAAAGAAAGAACGCGAATCAACTATGAATGAAGTGAGTACATATAGGAAACCCTAATTGGGTTGTACCCCCTATGGGATACCCCACTATAGCCTACACAAATGTATAAGCTATATAATGTTCTGACAAGGAGAAGGGCAAAAAACCTTTAAATTTATAATTTAGGAGAAGCATGTGGGCAAAGTTGCGCGTCATATTAGGTATACGATATCACTAACGCATGGTAACATATCTAAACACGACGAAACACGACCCGATCGAGCATCATTGCTACCTGAATATGTTTCCTAAGTGCTGTGTGCGTACACAACAGACACAAAGCGCGAGCATCTGTAAGCAAATGAAAATCGACTCAGCAGCAGAGTAGGCCTAACTTGGTGTCTAGCTGCTTGATCGCAGTACTAGACGGTTCGGAAAGGTTAAGCAACGGTACTGGGGTTGGGCGAGGTGTTTTGAAAGGGTTGGAGAGGATATAGGATGAGTTGGATGTGTGGTTCTCTTTTGTTTTGTGCAGCCGATCTTCGTGTGGCAGGTGTGGAGCTTTCGGCGCAGCTGGCAGATTACGACCACCTGTGCATCACAGGTGGCGCTAAATTACTGCTCTAAAACCGCTGAGTTGGCGATGCTTCCAGTTTTCAGACCAATGGCTAGGCCAGAGTGTACAAGGCTCGCCTGTTTCTGGTTGTATCTGGTTCATGGTGCTCCTGATAGACATCGATTTCGCCAAGTACCTGAATTGGGATCGCGGGGGAGGTTTTGTAACTTCGTTTCGGTCGAATTTCGTACTTGGTTACGCGACGGGTGTTACGCTTGTCGCGCGAATTCAAAGCGTGTTACCAGATTCCTCTGCAAGTAAATCGATATAGTCAGAATCCCAACCACTAGACCATTGGGATAAAAGGGCTTGTTAAGTAGCGGGTCAGAGTGCGCCCATAACCCCCCAGGCAAACGCGCCTGTAACCCCCCGTAGGATCAATCGAGCATCCACAGTGCAGATGTACTGACACCCCCCCACACTGGGAGGCCCAGGACTGAGCACAGCGGCAACGGCCTACAAGTGCATACACCGGGATTCGAACCCGAGACCACTCTGACACCATGTCAGAATCCCAGTCACTAACCACTGAGATAGAAGGGCTTGTTTCAGTAGCGAGTCAGTGCGCCCATAACCCCCCAGGCCAACGTGCCTGTAACCCTTCCCTAGGATCAATCGGGGATCACCAGTGGACCTCTGACACCCCCCCGCACTGGGATGCCCGAAGTGCATACACCGGGATTCGAACCCATGACCTTCGCTCTGATACCATGTCAGAATCCCAACCACTAGACCATTGGGATAAAAGGGCTTGTTAAGTAGCGGGTCAGAGTGCGCCCATAACCCCCCAAGCAAACGCGCCTGTAACCCCCCGTAGGATCAATCGGGCATCCACAGTGCAGATCTACTGACAGATATAACATTTCATCAGAGATAACGTGCACTCTGTACTTGCTATTAAGAGTACGCGTAAGCATAGTAACATCTATGTTGATGTTAGAATGAAAAGTGGTTGGACTAAGAAAAATGTGGGGTACAAGTAGGAAACCCTAAAGTTATCATACCCCATAGTATCTACCCCACTACAGCCTAAACAACTGTAGCAGATATAACATTTGACAGTTGATATCAGTGACATAAACAAAAAACGATATTTTGATTCATAAATATTTTCGAGTTAGCTAAATTAGAACCATTTGGAAGTAAATATTACGACGCTTATTTCGTAAATGTTTCCATATTTAATCATAAACGTTCGTGTTCTATGTTTTTTATGTCTAATATAATTATATTCTGAAATAGGTAGATGTTTTTGCTGGCGTTTTTTTCATGTAATCGTTTCAGATTTGTTTTCTTGTTCTGGTACATTGTTCTGTCGAATAATAAATTTTCTGGGCATCGGATTGGTCAATGTTTGCCTAAGATGCGATCCGAGGCGGCGCATACCTCCGATTCGTCAATGTTTGCGTTTCTGCGACTCGATACATTTGGACGTGTCTCATTGGTCAATGTTTGTTGGATCGCGGTTCGGCGCTTTTGGAAGGCGCCCCGCTGGTCAGGTTGGGGTCAGTTGGGGGTCAGGGGGGATGATTTTCCTGAAAATCGATAACCCCCTAGTGACCTTCGGGTGAAAACTGCGCGCACCTGACCTCGAAGTCACCTTCGGGTGAGGAACAGGGAACCTGGTAGTCACCTGGGGGTTCCCAATTTCCAAGGGTCAGCCCCAGGTGGTCAACATTTTGGAGATGACACAATGTTCCAAGACAATTTGATTTTTTAGTCGAAAACAATTTTCAACATACTTCAAGTCACGAGGTGACCTTTGAGTTGGCTCAAAAGCCACTGTAATGTAGGATAGATGCACGCGCGTGTCGGGAAACGTCTCCGCGTGGAATCCTTCCGGTCTCAATGTTGCAGTGTTACCATCTCGCTAAACCTTACATCCTTCGCCCGCAGGCAGGTTCTCCAGGGATAGCTGCACGCGCATGTCGCGGAACGTCTCCGCGTAAAACCCTCCCTCGGGATGCGGCTGCAGGTTCAGTCGGGTTACCACCTCGCCCACTGGCAACAGCTTCGCCGACATGATTTGCGGCTCTTGAACCGTCCGAATGGCAGAGAGGAGCCTTAGAAACCTGTAAGCTAGAAAATAAAACGCCGAGAGGGAACACACTCTAATCCAGATCCTCCACACTGCTCTCTCCAAAATCAATTTCTGTGTTTGGGGGATGTGGTGGAGGATCCAGCATGTGTGGGGAGAAGATTTTTGAGTCGACTCAAATATCGACTCACGACACGCTTTTTGAGTCGACTCATATATCGACTCACGACACGCTTTTTGAGTCGACTCAAAAAACGATCCAGCACGTGTGTGGAGAAATCGCGCACCCTCGAGAGTTCGGCGTGTTTTGTTCGCTCCGTCGGGTTCTGGAAGAAAAAAGTTGTCAGGCTAACTTCGAATTCGAGAGACGCTTCGCAACGAGGGTCCTCGTTACATTAACAAGATTATGGGAAATAGTTTTATAAAAGTTGCACAATACAAAACGAAATCAGAAAACTTTGAAATGCACATCCATGCACCTTACAAAATAAAAGAAAACCACCCTAACTAAACCTCACCCCACCCCCCCCCCCCCTCCCCCCCCCCCCCCCCCCCCCCCCCCCCCCCCCCCCTCTCTCACACACACACACACTCCCCTCACGCTCCTTCCCTTGCCCCATACCACAAAGACTCATTTTTAACACTTTCTAAGCTAGGTGCCTCTATGAGCTTGACTGCCATTTCCGTCATCATTCTCCTTCACCGCCTCTCCAGTCGTCCTCTTTTCTTCCCCCGGAGCCAACGACCTCTGGTCGGGGCTCTTACTCATGATATCCCGCTTCTTCCTGGGCTTCTCAGACTTCAGATTAGAGCAGTCCGCCAGGCAAATATACCCCCTGCATGTGCGCACAGGCTTGCACGTCTCCCCATCCTTGCACATGCCCGGGGAGCAATCTTTCGCTTGCCGGACGCAGCATCGTGCTCCGTCCCGGCTGTCACTGCCCCTGCTGCTGCTGCTGCTTCTTCCACAGCTCCTCCTGCCGCTTCCTTTCCTGGTATTCCTCGTAGGCCTTCCTTGAGGCCTCCTGTTGAAGCCGGCTCATCTCCTTCTCCTTTTCCAGCCGCTGCTGCTTCAACTCGGGTCGCTCCTGCTCCAACCTTTCCTGTTCCTTCTGCTGCTTCACCTTCTCCTGCCTCTGCAGCTCTTTCTGCCGCTCATTCTCCTTGTATTCCAGCATAGCCTTGTATGACGCCTCCTGTTGAAGCTTGCTCATCTCCTGCTGCTGCTTCTTCTTCTCCTTTTCCTCCTGCAGCTGCTTCTTCTTCTTCTCCTCTTCCGCTTGCTGCTGCATCTTCTTCTGCGCCTCTTCCGCTTGCTGCTGCATCTCCTTCTGCGCCTCTTCCGCTTGCTGCTGCTGCTTCTTCTGCGCCTCTTCCGCTTGCTGCTGCTTCTTCCTCTGCTCTTCCTCCTCCTGCTGCTTCTGCTGCTGCTGCTGCTTCTTCCACAGCTCCTCCTGCCGCTTCCTTTCCTGGTATTCCTCGTAGGCCTTCCTTGAGGCCTCCTGTTGAAGCCGGCTCATCTCCTTCTCCTTTTCAAGCCGCTGCTGCTTCAACTCGGGTCGCTCCTGCTCCATCCTTTCCTGTTCCTTCTGCTGCTTCACCTTCTCCTGCCTCTGCAGCTCTTTCTGCCGCTCATTCTCCTTGTATGCCAGCATAGCCTTGTATGACGCCTCCTGTTGAAGCTTGATCATCTCCTGCTGCTTCTTCCTCTGCTCTTCTTCCTCCCGCAGCCTCTTCTCCGCCTCCGTTTCCGGCTGTTTCTTTGCCTCCGCTGGCGGTTGCTTCCCCACCTCCGCAGGGGGGCGCTTCTCCACCACCCCCTCCTGCTGCTTCTCCGGCTGTCCCTGCTGCTGCTGCTTCTGCTGCAACTGTTGCTGCCGCTGTTGCAACTGCTGCTGCAACTGCTGCTGTCGCTGCAGCAACTGCTGCTGCCGCTGCTGCTGCTGCTGCTGCAGCTGCTGCCGCTGCTGCTGCAGCTTCTGCAGCATTTCCTGCCGCTGTTTCTCCCGGGATGCCAGCGTGCTCTTGTATGACGCCGCCGCATCAATCTGTGTCGTCACTGCGTCTTGCGGCGTCGTCACCGCGTCTTGCTGTGTCGTCGGCGCGTCTTGCGGCGTCGTCGGCGCGTCTTGCGGCGTCGTCGCCGCGTCTTGCGGCGTCGTCCCCGCGTCTTGCTGCGTCGTCGCTGCGTCCTGCTGGGTCGCCCCCGCGTCTTGCTGCGCCGTCGGCGCGTCCTGCTGCGTCGCCCTCGCGTCTTGCTGCGTCGCCCCCGCGTCCTGCTGAGTCGCCCCCGCGTCTTGCTGCGGCTTCTGCCCCTGCTGCTCGAGTTTGCGCTGTAGTGGAGCATCCGAACCGGAAAAAACAATTCCCGAGTCGCCAGGGGAGCCAGGCGCGGGATTCTGTTCCGCGAACAAAGATTTGTGTCCGAGTCCGGCTGCATGGGGGAATTTATGGGGCGCGATTTGGAGGAGATGAAATTAGTAGAGAATCTGAAGCTTTCAAGCTCACGTAGTGAAGTGCGTGAGCAATTCCTAGTACCTGTGACACAGATTATCCGCTATGATGCGTCAGCGAGAAAAGAAAATTCACTCTTTACGCGAGGCCATCGTCATGAAACTCGTCTTACGTAGATCGTTATCGCTCGAGAGTCGCCGCCCCCGAGCTCCTTCGCTGCCCAGCGGCCCGCAGAAGACCAGCACGAGAACGAATCCAAGCAACATATTGACAAGCTGCGCTAAGTACTAGCTCGGTTGTTCAAAAGTGGTGACACGGGGGTAACTGATAGCTTCTGAGTTCAGGACTCGGAGATTTATGCTGTGGGTCAGGTCAGGAGCTTCAGGAATGGAAGTCTAGCACATGCATGGGTCAGGACTTTTCGTTCAGCACAAATCCCGTCAAATCGCGCTTCGTGAATTATAGGGGTAAGCCAATAATTCGATTTCGTATTCCTCAATGACCAATCGCAGCACATGCGACGCGGTGGATTGAATTATGGGAGGTCGGATGCGAAGTGCTTGACTTGAGGTTCGCCGACGCTTAGGATTCGGTCGCAAAGAGATACAAAATTCATCTCGCGATCCTTGTTGCTCCGAATGCGTTTGGTAACCGACTTGTGACGTGGTTACTTTCGATGACAGCAATTTCGTCGATACACCTTTCTGAATCCGTGCGTTCTCCCTTCATACTACCCCCCATACAATGCCAAGTGCATAGTACAATGACAACTGTACATAAAAGGATGCACTTCAAAATCAATTACTGGATGTTTTTCAACAATCTGAGTAATACATACTAACGTAAAAAAATAATTTCCTTATATGCTCTGGTTAGTTCGTGTTTGAGTATTATTCTCCTTCCTGTGCATGCATATTGTATATATGCATCCCATATGTTGATAAGTTATACACTGGCTACCTAATGAAGTCAAAGTTGATCGTGCATGAGAACTTACTCAGCTAAAGGGTTTCGGTATACGTCAACTAACGATTTCTTATAGAAACTCGTAATATATTGTAAGATGGCAAGTCTATGTCGAAACATTATAGCTTATACTATTGTGTAGGCTGTAGTGGGGTATCCCATAGGGGGTACAACCCAATTAGGGTTAGTACTTGTACCCACTTCATTCATAGTTAATTCATTTCCTCGTTTCTTCTCATGGTATAGAGCAGGTTCCCTACCGGAAACGATTCCTAGGGCCCACCACTACGAACCTTTTTTTTCCTGCCCGGAGCGCACTCCGCTCAGGCCCGAGTCGCGCCCCGTGCCCTCTCCCTTCTATCGTGCCGCCCGGTGCGGCCCGTCACGCCTTAGCGGCCCGTCGCCACCCTACGCTGCCCGGCGCCACCCTTCGCGGCCCGGCGCCGCCCTCTCGCCGCCCTCGCGCCGCCCGTCCCGGCCCGACGACGCCCTCGCGCCGCCCGTCCCGGCCCCGCGCCGCTAGTTCCGGCACGTCGCCGCACGGCCCGTCGCCTCCCTTAGCGGCGTCGCGTGCCGCCCCTACCTGCATACCTTCGACCCGGCCCCGTCGCCCTACCTGCATACCGGCCCCGGCCCCGTCGCCCTACCTGCATACCTTCGACCCGGCCCCGTCGCCCTACCTGAATACCGGCCCCTGCCCCGTCGCCCTACCTGCATACCTTCGACCCGGCCCCGTCGCCCTACCTGCATACCGGCCCCGGCCCCGTCGCCCTACCTGCATACCTTCGACGCGGCCCCGCCACCCATCTCCGGCCCCGTCGCCTACCTTCGGCCTCGCCGTCTACCTGCGGCTCACCCGCCGCCCTACCTGCGGCCCACCCGCCGCCCGACCTGCGGCCCACCCGCCGTCCTACCTGCGGCCCACCCGCCGCCCTACCTGCGGCCCTACCGCCGCCTACCTGCGGCCCACCCGCTGCCCTACCTGCGGCCCACCCGCCGCCCGGCCTGCGGCCCACCTACCGCCGTCCTACCTGCGGCCCTACCGCTGCCCTACCTGCGGCCCTCCCGCCGCCCTACCTGCGGCTCTACCGCCGCCCTACCTGCGGCCCTACCGCTGCCCTACCCGCGGCCCACCCGCCGCCCTATCTACGACTCCGCGCCGCCCTGAACCAGCGCCGCCGAGCCGCCTAGCGGCAAAACCACCGAGCCGCCCGGCCGCCGAGTCGCTCACCAGCCGAGCCGCCGAGCAGCCGAGCCGCCCAGCAGCCGAGCCGCCGAGCCGCCCAGCAGCCGAGCCGCCCAGCAGCCGAGCCGCCCAGCTGCCGAGCCGCCCAGCAGCCGAGCTGCCCAGCAGCCGAGCCGCCCAGCAGCCGAGCCGCCGAGCCGCCCAGCAGCCGAGCCGCTGAGCCGCTGAGCTGCCCTACTTCTGGACCGCTCGAGCTGCCCCGTCTGGTGAGCACAGCGCCCTTTTTCCTGCACTGCCCTCACCCTACTGTTTGCACTGCTAGTCGCCTGTCGTCATGGCTACCCCTAGTGTCCTAGCTTTTGACGCTGAGGGTCGGGCCATTGACTTTGAGGTCTGGGTAGACGACCTGCAACTGTTCTTACAGTGCGATAGGGCAGACGGCCTCTCTCTCTTTGACCTTACCTCTGGCGCTTCCCCTGCCCCTACTGCCGATGCTGACGCCACCGTTCGCTCCCAGTGGGCCACGCGCGTCGCTGCTGCACGTCTAGCTGTGCGTCGCCACCTTCCTACCTCCGAGCGTGCGCACTTTAGTCAGTACAAGAGTGCTCAGACCTTGTACGACGCTGTACTCGCGCGCTACTCATCCCCTGCCACTGCTGCACTGAGCCGTCTCATGCTACCGTACCTCTTCCCTGACCTTGCTGCCTTTCCCACCGTAGCTGACCTCATTACGCACCTTCGCACTAGTGACACTCGCTACCGCGCTGCACTTCCTGCTGACCTCTGCGCCACGAACCCCCCCTCCATGTACATCACTCTGTACTTCCTAGTCACTCGCCTTCCTGACTCCCTTCGAGTGGTCAGGGACCACTTTCTCTCAGTCTGTCCCACCACACTCACTGTCGACCTCCTCGAGAAGGCCCTCCTCGCGAGAGAGAAGAGCATAGTCGCTGTAGGAGCCTCTCGAGGTGACCCGCGCACCCCCATCTTTGAGGGGTGTTCCCCCTCCCCCCTGCTGCCCTCTGTTGCCTCTGCTCCTGCGGCCGACCTCCTTGGTCTTGAGTCGGTCGGTGCGGCGTCTGCCCCTAGCGGGAGACGCCGCCCTGGCAAGGGCAAGGGGGGCAAGGGAGCTGGAGGAGCGGGCGGTGGAGGTGGAGGTGGAGGCGGTGGGGGGAGTGGGGGTGGCGGTGGGAGTGGAGGTGGGGGTGGAGGGGTCGGTGGCGGCAGTGGAGGCGGAGGCGGCGGCGGCGGTGGCGGTGGGAGCGGAGGTGGCGGAGGAGGCGGCGGTGGAGGCGGCGGCGGAGGCGGCGGCAGTAGCGGAGGCGGCGGAGGCGGCGGAGGCGGCGGAGGCGGCGGAGGCGGTGGGGGTGGCGGTGGAGCTGGTCGCGGGTCCTCGCAGAGGAGTGGCTCCGGCGGTGGCTCGCGCCAGCAGCAGCAGCGCGGTCGTGATACCCTGTCCCCTCAGCAGCTCCGTAAGTGGTACCTTGCACGCCAGCGGGGTGGGGGTTTTGGTCCGTGCACCTACGTCCTGCGCACCGGCGACCGTGCGGGTGAGCAGTGTGGGGGTGCGCACCCCACCCAGCGTTGCTTTGGCCGCCTGACGGACGCGTGGCGTCACCAGTTCCCGGAGGCCTCAGAGATCCCTCGCTGGGGCGAGCTGTCTAGGGCGGGTGTTGCCATCTTTGATCTTGACTTTGATGCTATTCTCTCTGCCATGTATGCTGTGTCTAATAGTGATGAGGGTGACTGTTACTGGTGCTTCCCGCCCGATCCGGGCATTGAGACTGCTGCTCTAGGTACTGGTGCGGCTGCTGCCCTAGGTGCTTGCGACGCTGCTGCTCTAGGTGCTAGTGCGTCTGCGTCCTCAGGTACTGGTGAGTCGCGCGCTCAGGTACTTCGTCTGCTTCGGCCTCCCTCACCTTCACCCTTGACTCTGGGGCTTCTCGCTCCTTCTTTCGGGACCGTACCACACTCACGCCGCTCAGTCGGCCGGTTGCGGTGTCTCTGGCTGACCCCTCTGGGGGTCCTGTCCTGTCTCGCTTCTCCACA